GAATGTTGCAGGGGAGTCAATCAGCCCCTGTGGCACAACTAGACACTCCCACAGCATCCCCTGGGGGTACTCACTGCCGTGAACGGGATGTCCCGTTCACGCATGAGGATCTGACAGAATCCATCCATCAGATCCATGGACGAGAAGATGGTACTCTTTGACATACCATCTATGATTACTTCCTTCCTCGGTATCGGCGTCTGAGCCGGTACCGTTGCAGCATTCAATTTGTTGAATGCTTGCACTATCCGCCATCCTCATATGGCCTTTTGCACACAGAAGGTCGGAGAGCTGTGAGGGGATGTTGATTCTCTCACATGGCCCGCTGCAAAGCGATAGGTAAAGAGCTTGTTGATCGCTAGTACTTGTTCACGAGGCAGTGGCCAATGCTTCATGACTCAGTACTTCGAGCCTGGTTTGACCTCGATCTCGTGTCGAGTACCTTTATCCTTGGTCAACTCGCATGGTACTGACCAGGGAATACATACTTAAATTCGATCAAATCCTTGTACAAAGGATTTGCCTGAAGCGATTTTTAGGATTGAGATGCATATCTCTCAATCCGAGGTTCTCATCGACGACATTTTCGTCCATCGATGAGCTGCTGAGAACCCGTTCGTTCTCAGCAAATAATGTTGCCGACCGAATATCGGCCACATACTCATCCTCTGTGACGAGTATGCAGATCTGCTTGACTTTGCCACTACGCAGATCACGCAAGAACCGTATCGGCTCTAGCGTTGGCAACTGAGTTATCTCCGAAGTTAACTTCGGAGGCACAATCAGATCAAGCGCATAAGCTTCTACGCTTGATCCTTCATTAACCAAGACGTTCAACGTCTCGGTTACTTCCTGGGAACTTCTTTCCACAGGTTGCTGAAGGCTTAATCCTTCAGCAAGTGACTCTTGAGGAATTCCTTCCTCAAGTACGTGGGGACTTATTCCCTCGACGTCTTCTGACTGTGGCTGTGCAACCACAGTCAGGGACCGATCCTCTACGGTCGACTATCCAGTCGACCTAGGATTTCCATGTTGCCCCTTGGAGGCAACAGGTTTCTTTCTTCTAAGATGCTGCCCGATAGCCATGCATCTATGTCCCGGTCCACTCGACTTATTCGAGTGGTGGACCTTCGGCGCAGCCTGTACTCCTGTACAGCCGCCGGGAGCTTGCTCCACAGTGTAGTGATCAACTACACTGTGATCTTGTGCAGTCGTGCTAACGACCGTACCGCAAGTGAGGCCATCGCACTCACTCGCAGAACATCCACACGCTTGTGGACGATCCAAGATGTTCATCAGATGGCCATCTGATGAACAAGTGGCAGGCATCTTCACGGATCGATGCTGCCAGCTCACCCTTGGCTCGTACTTTCTGAGCCAAGGTAATCCCAGGATGACATCAAATTTGTCAACCAGATCCAGTACGATGAAGTCATCTTCGTACTGTTCGCCCTCCAACGTGTAGTGGATTCCGAATACACGTTTCTCAACGGTAATCGATGCGCCTGTTGCAAGGCGCACCGTCATCTTCGTGAGGGGAATGTCGCGCTCAACGAAGTTGAGCCTACGGCCCTCTAGTGACTGGCGACGAACAAAGTTGTTCGACGCCCCACAGTCTACTAGGGCACGAAGCGACAAATCATTTGTCGCTTCCAACTTCAAGGTGATGAGCGAAACGTCATCACCAGGTGCAGAGACACACAATGATTGTGTATCTGGAGCAACTTTCGTCAAGAGATTTGCAAATTCTCTTGAGGTTGCTGGATCAGTAGGGCGCTCCGCCCCTACTGACCTCGACCATTTTTTGATGGTCCGTCTCGCTGTTGCGGCTTCGCAACAGCGCTGGACCCACGCCCATTGCCGTTCTTGGCGAATGGTCGTCCATTTCGCTCAGTACTGTTCGGTACTGGGCGTGGAGCACTACACTCGTATGCGTAGTGACCTATCTTCTGACAGCGATTGCACCTCTGCAATTGCTTGTTGTTTAAAGAGCGAGGTCTCTCGCTCTCAACATAGCAGAGGTCCATTGGTTCTGGACCTCCGATCTCTTGTCGTCTCGGTGGACGGTAAGAGTTTGAGCTAGCATGAGCCTGTCTCATGCTAAAGTCTTCCTGTTCCGCGGCTGATATCGCATCTTCCAGCGTATTCAGCTCAAGGCGGAACAGGTAGATCCTGACGGGCCCTTCTGCGAGCCCTTGCATGAACACCGTAATCAACGTGTGTTCATGTACTGGGTTAGCAGTTATACTACTTGCGAGGAGTCGTATATGTTGTGCGTATGCGTGCACATCACGCTTACCCTGCTTGAGTTTCAGGAGCTCTGAAAGAGCCCTGAACTCAGCCCGTGGCGGCTCAAAGGTTTGTCTGAGCCGGGACTTGAAGTCATCTAGCGACCTAAACACATTTGGGTCGCTACTATCGAGCCCCAGGGACCAAGTTTTGGCACGTCCTGCCAAGTGGGTCTGAGCAAATGTGAGTTTCATTTGCTCATCTTCAACGCGACGAGCCCTTAAGGCTCTGTCGAGTTCGACAAACCACAGTAACAGGGAGTCCTCCGGGACTCCACTGTACTTGGAGATGTCAAATTTCATGACCTCGGGACGACGCGCATGTGCCGTCCCGCCCACAGCAGCATGGAATTGCTGCTGTCTCAACAGCTCTGTCTGTTGAGCACCGAGTTCTCTCAACTGCTCGGCCTGTTGAGAGCCTTGCTGGTGAAGCAAGGCTACTTTCTCCCTTTCGGCGACAAGTTCACTTTGGATGAACTTGGCTATAGCGGCATGTTTTTGGTCTCTGTCTGTAGACTCCAACATGGCGCTAATGGCGAACTCGCCTACGGTAGAACTCATTCGTTCTACCGCACCCCATTCGATGTCGCTCAAATGGGTAAACCCTTCACGCGTGGCGTGAAAGGTCTCTTCATCATCCAACATGTTCATGTTGGATGTTGTGGTCCTTGGAAGGACTACAAAGTGCTACCAGGTGTAACGGGGCACATCCTTGCGTGAACTTAACGCAAGGGTTTCGGGTGCCCCGACAGACGTACACAAGGCAAGCGAGGAAGCGTAGATAGGGTAAAAGCAGAACTGTTATATTAATATAATTAAGTCTTTAACCACTGTCTCTCTGTTTGACTTAACTTAATTATGCTAATATAACTGAGTGTATGGTGACGTCTCGTCACCACTCATTGCGCGCGTCTTGCGGCGATTGGTGGGTTGATATCATCAAGATATCAACCAATGAACAGACTCTTTGGTAGACCCTTCAATATCACCACTTCGGTGATATTGTTTAAAGAATATTCAGCCTCATATTCTTTATTGTCACTTTCCTTAAAGTGGCAATTCCATGTAACGGGCTGCCCCGTTACACTAGCAGCTTCAAGATCGTCAAAAGCAGCGGCGTCAATGCTTAGTCATAGTCTGGCATGGCATTTACCAATGTCATTTACACACCCTTTCAGCCAGAAATACTGCCATGTAACTCTTGAGCGGTATGTGGTACGCAAGTCGGCAGCACGAACGTTACACGACTAGTAGCTCGTCTCACCAGGTCAGCCAAGGAAACGCACGATAAACAATCACGAGAAATGAGGACAGCCTATCGAAGCAAGGGCGATGTCGCGTGAAGTGTCATAGAGCTCAGCTGCAACGTCGGTTAGCCGTGTGTTGTACGAGCGGGGAAGCAGCATTATTGCCCGTACGGTATCGATCCATCGATCGATCGCATTCCTGCATTTTTTATACGTCATCCTCTGTCTCGTCTTGGTTGTGTGTGAGAGGCCCACGGGGTCCTGCCGTCGTATGTTTGATGTTAATATCCAAGCACTGGTCAATAGCGCCTCATGTACAACTCCGAGAATGATGTCGGAACATTCTGATGTGGCTATTGGCGATCTGTTGGTCTGCAAGCAAATGAATGCGCGTAACGACATCAATTTTCAGCAACTCAGGCAAAACGTGATATCCGTAGAATTTACATGAGCGTAGCGAGATTGATGCGCGATTGATCTACCAGGAAGCTGCTGTGGGTCGTGATACATGGTAGCCTATTGCGAAACGATCTGATAATCGATCTACAACTTTGCATTAATGTGTGCAAGCAGAACGATTACATGCGGCTACATCGTCGCGATTTTTGCGATAGAGGAGCGAGCTTTGGAGCTCACCTTTTGATACAAGTAATCCAGTTCAAAGACCTGAACCAGTTGCATATATGCACGCATCATTTCAGATGGTAGGGGCGGAGTTGATAGATGACTCGAACATCATAAGGTGTGCTAGCCGCAGTGTTGCCGTGCTTCTTGTGTAGCGAAGCAGCTAGTTGGCACTACTGACGTGTCGAAGGGAATATATGAGAAGAGCGGGACAACGGCTAATCTTATCTGTGCAACAACCAGAACAGAGTGCAACCGACGACATGAAGCTGGTTGATGAGAAGGAGAGTGTCACTAAGCTCCTAAAGCAGCCATGCATGGAGGTGCTGATGATGTCGTTCTGAAGGGTGGGCAGCCTTCGCTGCTATAAAGCGTTGAGCATCCTCGTAACTTACAGATATGCATAGAGACAGACACACAGAACAAGATTGGCAGTTGGACAGAAAGAGAGATAGAGAGATAGAGAGATAGAAATGCGGGAACAGACCGAGACACGAACGGAGAGTGGTCCAAAGAAAGTTCAGCTATCACCTTACGGACACCTTTATCGTTTTAACTTCAGACCCGAAATTAGAGGCTAGATGCTGTTCTATCATCCATCAAGATCGAGATTTTAAGTTACATCTTTGTTCTTTTCACTGTGATGATATAAGTGCTTTGTCGATCAGTAAAAAACAACAACGATCCAGTCGAGCAATGCGACCCGTTGCCAGACGGTCTACCAAGCGTATGTGAACTGCGCCTAACGCATTAATGTAGAATGAAAATGTATAACTAAGGCCGTTATCGTATCTAGGCTACCATACAAATGCATCTTCGGCCGCGAGCGGGTGGCATGACATCAAGCTTTAGGTTGCGTGTGTTGAAGAAATTCAGCGTACTGTTTCTCGAGCATATACCATTTCTCACCGAGCTTACTTCCGGGCTCCCCATACACCTTCCAATCCTGAAAAACCTGCTCCAAAACGTAATTGCGAGACTTCTTCTTGGGTTCAAGTTCTAGCCAGTTTTGAACACGTGTTTCAAGCCTCTCGTCCACTGTCGTTGCACCGTGTAAGAGGCTCAGCTCCATGGAAAGAGTCATCTTCTCATCCCTAAGCTTAAACATGTTGTACAGTACAACGTACTTGTACAGGAGTGGTAAAAGCTCATCTTCAAACAACTGGCTGTCAAGTAGACTCGTCTTCAATTTGTCTTGTAGGGCGATCTTGAAAGCTCCATGAGGAGATTTCTCTCTAGAGACCAATAGTCCCAACCAGGTATCAATGAGCTTGACAGCTCGAGCGCGATCGGGAGGGGATTGAAGTGCCGCATACGCTTGCTTCCCCAGGCCTGTTCGGCCGCCAAACTTCTTTTCCATGGCCCCGATGTATGTATAATCACCGCGTTGTTTGACACGACAGTAGACCCTTAGAATGTCGTCGGACAAACTACCGATCTTTCCTGCAACGTCGGAGTTGGTGACGAGTTCGTTGTCAATTAGGACTCTGTCGAAGATCTGTCCGACCGACAATCCTTCACTCTCCCACTTCGCAAACAGACCATTCTTTAGCTCCCATCCAGCAGCTATCTCGAGCGGATGTTTGGACCTCATCACAAGGGCAATCGATGCTGACTCAAGAACGTCAATGTGCGCGGAAGACAGGGCCTTGATCAGCATCTTGTCGTCTGCCAGACCTTCTAGCAAATTCTCCAACAATGGTCTTCTGTCGATAGGTGGGTGCACAGCGGGTCCTGGATGTCCACTCCCTAGCCTTGCCAAAGCGTCGATAACGGGGGTCCGTTCAGCTTGTGAGACCTTCTGAAACGTCCTCTCCACCACTTGGTCCAGGTATAGAAATCCCGTTCTATCCTCTTTGATGCCTGTGTCGTTAGACAACAACGGTTTGTCGGGAGGTGTAACGGGGCAGCCCGTTACATAATATTGTCACTTAAGGAAAGTGACAATAAAGAATATAAAGATGGATATTCTTTAAACAATATCACCGAAGCGGTGATATTGAAGGGTCGACCAGAAGGGTCTGTTCATTGGTTGATATCGTGATGATATCAACCCACCAATCGCCGCAAGACGCGCGCAATGAGTGGTGACGAGACGTCACCATACATGCAGTTATATTAGTATAATTGAATTAAGTCAAACGAAGAGACAGTAGTTTAAAGACTTAATTTATTAATATAACAGTTCTACTTTTACCCTACCTACGCTTCCTCGCTCGCCACGTGTACGTCCGTCGGGGCACCCAAATCCCTTGCGTTAAGTTACGCAAGGGTGTGCCCCGTTACACCTGGTAGCACTTTGTAGTCCTTCCAAGGACCACATCATCCAACATGAACATGTTGGATGAAGAAGACACCTTTCACGCCACGCGTGAAGGGTTTACCCATTTGAGTGACATCGAATGGGGTGCGGTAGAACGAATGAGTTCTACCGTAGGCGAACTCGTCGTCAGCACCATGTTGGAGTCTCTAGACAGAGACCAACAACATGCTGCTATCGCCAAGTTCATTCACAATGAACTTGCTCTCGAGAGGGAGAAAGTAGCCTTGCTTCACCAGCAAGGCTCTCAACAGGCCGAGCAGTTGAGAGAACTCGGTGCTCAACAGACGGAGCTGTTGAGACAGCAGCAATTCCATGCTGCTGTGGGCGGGACGGCGCATGCGCGTCGTCCCGAAGTGATGAAAGTCGACATCTCCAAGTACAGTGGAGTCCCGGAGGACTCCCTGTTACTATGGTTTGTCGAACTCGACAGAGCCCTAAGGGCTCGTCGCGTCGAAGATGAGCAAATGAAACTCACATTTGCTCAGACCCACTTGGCAGGGCGTGCCAAAACTTGGTCCCTGGGACTCGAGAGTAGCGACCCAAATGTGTTTAGGTCGCTAGATGACTTCAAGTCCCGGCTCAGACAAACGTTTGAGCCGCCACGTGCTGAGTTCAGGGCTCGTTCAGAGCTCCTGAAACTCAAGCAGGGTAAGCGTGATGTGCACGCTTACGCACAACATATACGACTCCTTGCGAGTAGTATAACTGCAAACCCAGTTCATGAACACACGTTGATTACGGTGTTCATGCAAGGGCTCGCAGAAGGGCCCGTCAGGAGCCACCTGTTCCGCCTTGAGCTGAATACGCTTGAAGAAGCGATATCAGCCGCGGAACAGGAAGACTTTAGCATGAGACAGGCTCATGCTAGCTCAAACTCTTACCGTCCACCGAGACGACAAGAGATCGGAGGTCCAGAACCAATGGACCTCTGTTATGTTGAGAGCGAGAGACCTCGCTCTACAAGCAACAAGCGATTGCAGAGGTGCAATCGCTGTCAGAAGTTAGGGCACTACGCATACGAGTGTAGTGCTCCGCGCCCAGTACCAAACAGTACTGAGCGAAATGGACGACCATTCGCCAGAAAGGGCAATGGGCGTGGGTCCAGCGCTGTTGCGAAGCCGCAACAGCGAGACGGACCATCAAAAAATGGTCGGGGTCAGTAGGGGCGGAGCGCCCTACTGATCCAGCAACCTCAAGAGAATTTGCAAATCTCTTGACGAAAGTTGCTCCAGATACACAATCATTGTGTGTCTCTGCACCTGGTGATGACGTTTCGCTCATCACCTTGAAGTTGGAAGCGACAAATGACTTGTCGCTTCGTGCCCTAGTAGACTGTGGGGCGTCGAACAACTTTGTTCGTCGCCAGTCACTAGAGGGTCGTAGGCTCAAGTTCGTTGAGCGCGACATTCCCCTCACAAGGATGACGGTGCGCCTTGCAACAGGCGCATCGATAACCGTTGAGAAACGTGTAGTAGGAATCCACTACACGTTAGAGGGCGAGCAGTACGATGATGATTTCATCGTACTAGATCTGGATGACAAATTTGATGTCATCCTGGGATTACCTTGGCTCAGAAAATACGAGCCAAGGGTGAGCTGGCAGCATCGATCCGTGAAGATGCCTGCTGCTTGTTCATCAGATGGCCATCTGATGAACATCTTGGAGCGTCCACAAGCGTGTGGATGTTCTGCGAGTGAGTGCGATGGCCTCACTTGCGGTACGGTCGTTAGCACGACTGCACAAGGTCACAGTGTAGTTGATCACTACACTGTGGAGCAAGCTCCCGGCGGCTGTACAGAAGTACAGGCTGCGCCGAAGGTCCACCACTCGAATAAGTCGAGTGGACCGGGACATGGATGCATGCCTAGCGGGCAGCATCTTAGAAGAAAGAAATCTGTTGCCCCCAAGGGGCAACATGAAAATCCTAGGTCGACTGGAGAGTCGACCGTAGAGGATCGGTTCCTGACTGTGGTTGCACAGCCACAGTCGGAAGACGTCGAGGGAATAAGTCCCCACGTACTTGAGGAAGGAGTTCCTCAAGAGTTGCTTGCTGAGGGATCAGGCCCTCAGCAACCTGTGGAAGCAAGTTCCCAGGAAGAAACCGAGACGTTGAACGTCTTGGTTAATGACGGATCAAGCGTAGGCGCTTATACGCTTGATCTGATTGTGCCTCCGAAGTTGACTTCGGAGATAACTCAGTTGCCAACGCTAGAACCGAAACGGTTCTTGCGTGATCTGCGTAGTGGCAAAGTCAAGCAGATCTGCGTACTCGTCACAGAGGACGAGTATGTGACCGACATTCGGTCGGCAACAGTATTTGCTGAGAACGAACGGGTTCTCAGCAGCTCATCGATGGACGAAAGTGTCCTCGATGAGAAGACTCGGATTGAGCGATACGCGTCCCAATCCTGGGAGTCACTTCAGGCAAATCCTTTGTATAAGGATTTGATCGAATTCAGGGATGTGTTCCCTGAATCCGTACCTTGCGAGTTGCCTAAGGACAAAGGCACTCGACACGAGATCGAGCTCAAACCGGGCTCGAAATACTGTGTCATGAAGCAGTGGCCACTGCCTCGTGAACAAGTGATAGCGATCGACAAGTTCTTTGCCGATCGCTTAGCAGCGGGCCATGTGAGGGAATCAACATCCCCTCACAGCTCTCCGACCTTCTGTGTGCGAAAGGCCACAGGAGGGTGGCGGATAGTGCACGCATTCAACAAGTTGAATGCTGCAACGGTACCGGCTCAGACGCCGATACCGAGGAAGGACGTAATCATAGATGGTATGTCAAAGAGTACCATCTTTTCGTCCATGGATCTGATGGATGGATTCTATCAGATCCTGATGCGTGAACGGGACGTCCCGTTCACAGCAGTGAGTACCCCCAGCGGGATGCTGTGGGAGTGGCTAGTGATGCCACAGGGGCTGAGTAATGCCCCTGCAACATTCAACAGATGTGTAACAAATCTGTTGAGACCGGTGCGAGACTTCGCACCGAGTTACTTCGACGATGTGTTCGTCCATAGCCGGGCTATGGACGGGAAGACGGACGTTGAAGTTCACAGAACTCACGTTCGTCAGGTTCTTCAACTTATGCGCAAGCATAAGTTGTACGCCAACCTCAAGAAGTGTATATTCGCGGCTAGCGAAATACCACTTCTTGGGTGCATCGTGGGGAAACACGGCGTACGCCCTGATCCCGAAAAGATCAAGGCGATCACCGACTGGCCAGTGCCAGTCGATGTCAAGGGACTTCGAAAGTTCCTTGGTCTTGCGGCGTACTTGCACAAGTACTCGCGCAACTACGCCGAGATGACGGTACATCTTTCTTGCTTGCTCAAGAAAAATGTCAAGTGGTCATGGAACGCTGAGTGCCAGCGTTCCTTTGAAGGTATCAAGCAAAGCTTGATGCAATCGCCGATCTTGGCGATTGCAGATCAGGACAGACCATTTCATGTGGTCTGTGACGCCAGCGATTTCGCAATCGGCTGTGCGTTAATGCAGTTCGATGCAGATGGCGCGGAGCGCGTCATCTGTTATCAATCGCGTCAGCTGCAAGCAGCTGAGCGTAATTACCCAGTGCATGACAAGGAACTCCTTGCCATGAAATACGCACTGGCTAAATTTCGCGTCTATCTCTTGGGAGATAGACCGTTTGTTGTCTACACGGACCATGCGTCATTACGCACGGCCGTAAACAGCCCACACCTCTCGCAAAGAATGGCGAGGTGGCTGTCTTTCTTCGCGGAGTATAACTTCTCCGTGGAGTATAAACCGGGACGACTCAATGTCGTCGCGGATGCTCTTTCGCGCCGGCCCGATTTCGAGCCGGACGCGCAATCCAACAGTGAGGACAAGCCCACTGTTGCGACACTGTCAGTCAGTGTCCCGTCGTCAAGTTTACTTGACGACGTACGAAAGGCATACGCGGAAGATAAGGATCTTCTGCGATTGATGGATCATCTGGTGAATCCATCCAGTAAATCCATGAGGGATTTACCGGCTTTGTACCGATCCTCATCGGATCGGTATAGTACACGCAACGGATTGCTGTACTATACAGCTGTTGCCGACGACACGCCTCGTGTCGTCGTACCCGCTCATCATGATTTGCGATTGCGCATCATGTATGAGTGTCACGATGCCCCAACAAGCGGCCATCGTGGTAGAGAAAAGACTTACCTCACGGTAAGTCGCGACTTTTACTGGCCCCGCCAGTATCAGTTTGTTCGCAAGTACATCCGTGCTTGCGAAGTATGTCAACGGGTGAAGCCTAGTCCTTCATCCCGTGCGCCATTGCAGCCTCTGCCTGTTCCGACAGAGTGCTGGCAGTCCG